TTCTAGACCATTCCTGTTGGCTGTTTTCCCAAAACCAGTTATTGGTGAGGCAGCAGCAGAAGTCTGCTTCTCACAACCACAGGCATGTGACCTAAAAAGAAGACATTCCTGTAGGCCCACTGATCTTCCTGGGAAATGCTGGAGACTACAGTATGGAGGGATTCACTTTGTCTGCTCATAGCTCCATTCATTTATGTTAGCCGGTACAGGAAAATATAAAAAAATCATCAATTGAAAATGATTACAAATGTATGGAAAAGTGTAATGAAGAAAATAAGAAGCAGATATAAAGAAGCATAATATAAACTGGCAGCATAGGCTGATTAACCACATAGATGAAAGGACACATTTTATATTGATACCTGAGGAGTCGATCACTGCTAGTATGACTGTCTTTCCTACTCCCTATTGGATTGCACCTACAGCTATCTCAATTGTTCTTGCCATTTCAGAGCCAGTCTATTGGACTACTGAAGGCACTGCATAATGGCAACAGCTGGACAACTACTGGACTGTTGTGCTTAATTATGGTAGCAGATGGCTCTGCCATGACAATTAGTCATAAAATGTGCAACATGCTGAGGATATGAATTTTATCCTATTTATGCTCATAGTTTTAAATATAAGAATCATAAAGAGCAGTGCATAGCAATAAATATTCAGGTAAAACAGCCATGTTAGCTATTTTTAAACCATTTTTTAAAAAATCCTAATAATGAAATCATCTCTTTAAATCCTGCCCTAACTGATAACACAATGTTATGGTGATAGCTCTGGCATATTTTCAAATTAGACTTTAAACCCTCAAAGACTCTTAAGAGAAGAATCTCATGGAGGAAGTATGTCATTTACCTATGTAATAAGAACTATTTTCTCTTAATTAAAAATAGATCAAATTATTTATTATATATTTCTATTTGATAAAATCAGCCATTCTTTAATGAGGAAATACCTATCAAAGGAGAGATATATTTCAAGATATAAATAAATTCAGGAACTTCTTTTCTTGATGAGATGGTTATTGTCAATGAGAGGCTTGTTTGTGTGACCAGTTTTACCTGAGCCATGGTGAAATTTTGTCTGATGTTATTAATCATCAGTAAATCAAATAAATCCCATCAGGTGAAATGGATGTTCATTTTGAAATTGTTAAAATTTCTTCTCCTTCCATTGTTATTACTTAGCTTATCATTGAGTTCATGTTCATTTTCATGCCAAAAACCACCCATTAATGGAATGTAACATGTTTTAATGGGGAAAAAAAGCAACGGATTAGGAGTCAGACAAAAATTATTTTAATAATATTTCTTGCTGACATATCATACTACTTTAGTAAGAAATAACACTACCAAATTTCAATTTTCTAATCAGTAAAATAAAAATAATATTACCCCTGTTCTCCTCAAGGTTCTGATTGTACACTCAGGGCCCAAAAAATCTTTTAACTACTGCTGCTTATTTAGGACGAATCATCTAAACAACTGAGTCTTCAAAGAAGTTGACTCATGGCCTCCATATTTACTGGCAGTTTAAAAAATAAAGATATATCATCCTAAAAGCTTCCATAGGTATTTTGGATTTCTAGATCTGACAATTTCACAAATTATAAATCGTAAAGTCAGAGACTCTGATAAGAAGGGCCCTTCAAAGTTATGTAACCCTTTCTATGCCATCTCTGACTTGCTATCTTCCAGCCTAGGCTCCAATACTTTGAGTAGCATGAGTTTACTTAATTAAATACTAGAAAAAGTTTCTTTGTATTGACCCCAAATCCTTCCATCTTTTGACCACGGGGGTCCTGGCTTTCTTGAAGACCGCACAGGATAAGTTTAATCACTTTTCTCCATGACAGCTTTTCATATATTTAATGGTAGCTTTCAAAGCCACCTAATTTTATTTATCACAGGTTAAACTTGATATTATTTTTTAAATCTTTTTTATTCCTCACCCGAGGATATTCTTCCAGTTATTATCAGATAGAGTGGGAGGAAGGGAGAGAGAGAGAAACAGAGAGAAACATCGATGTGATAGAGCCACATCGACTGGTTGCCTCCTGCACGACCCAACCAGGGCTGGGTACAAACTGCAAGCAAGGTACGTGCCCTTAGCAGGAACCCATGACTCATTGGTCCAAGGGCCGATGCTCTAACCGCTGAGCCAAACCGGCCAGGGCTAAACTTGATATTCTTTCAGATGCTTTCCATGTGACACAGTTTACTTCATAAGAAACTACTGCAGTGATTGAGAGGGGAAGCAGCGAGAACCTAACCTTGCACTGGGAATAGAGAAGAGAAGGGATCAATGCAAAATATATTATAAAACTTGAACCAACAGGACTTGAAATCAGTTGGTTCTGTGTGGCAAGGAAGGAATCAATGGTAACATTGAACTGTCAGGCCCAAATCAATGGGAAGATATATAATGGAAAGATATTGGCACTATCAGCCTAAATAAAGAAAGTTAGAAAAAAAAGAGTTTGAGAGGGAATAAGCTAAGTTGATGTCTAGAAATATAGTTTTAGATGCTAAAAGGATACAAAAATGGAGATGTGTGACGGAGGTAAAAATATAGACTTAGAACTCAAGAGAGTATATAAGAATAAAAATGTTGAAGACAAAATACTTCAGACTGGGTGGTAAAAATAAGTATGTAAAACAAATCAGTTATAACACAATATTGAACTAGGGAACTCATGCTCAATTTGAATCCTGATCAAACAAATCATATCTGTGCATTATACTTGATACAGAGACTGCCAGTTTATATCTTTGTTAGGTATAGAGAAGAGAGCTAAGAAAAAAAAAAATTCCCCATAAACATCATGTAGGTACACGAGACTGAGAAGAAGTGGTCAAAGGAGGATGATGATTCATCGTTATTGTTGAAAGTATTAGATGTCCCTCCTTTGTTCCCCCATTGATACCCTCCCACCCTGCCTTCACTGCAGTGTTGTCTGTGTCCATCGGTTATATATATATATATATTCTCTTTTTTTAAGACACAAAACTTAATTTATTAGAAATTTTGTTGTAGTTCTTACATTCTTCATGTGAGCTGAGATGGAAATAAAATAAAACAGAATATTTGAAATGTTGAAAGTCCTGAAGGAAAAAAAAAAAGGAGGAGGAAGAGGAGAGCTAGGAGAGTGTAGGGAATCGCAGCAGCCAGGAAGGAGTCAAGTAAGTTAAATAAGGCAAATGTCAAAGACAACTAAGATGAGGAATAGGAAACGGAGATTGGATGTTTTAGCTACTGACCTTTGAGCAAAATAGTACGGGTTAGAGTGGCCTGAGAAGATTTACAGAATGATTTGAGTAATGAGGTTTTGGAAGTATAGATAGACTCTTCAGAATTTTAAAGTGAAAGGAATTGAAAAAGGCACTGCAGCTTGAAGGAGGTATCAGGATCTTGGAACTTGTATTTTTTTAATGAATGGAGACATCTTGAATTTTATAATGAAGGGAAAAGATTTGGTGTCAAGTGAGAGATTGAAAAGAAAGAAACAAAAACCTGAGATGAGGGAAGGAAAGGAAAACCTGAGGTGAGGGAAGGAAAGAAAAAGGAATCTAAGGCTTTAGAGAGAACAAATGTTTTCTCTAAGATGGGAGAGAAAAGGAGAATATGTATAAATATAGATACAATTTACATTTGAGAAGAGAGACACTGAAGAATCTCATGTTGTGACAGATCTTCCAAATCAGATTCGATCTTGGTCACAGTTGAAAAGTATTTCATTCAAGAAGAACTCGAAATACAATTAAACAGCAAGGGCGTATAAATTAAAAATGTCCTAACAGTCAGAAGAACAGGGTAGTCCCAGAGATGTGGAAGTATGGTACAGACTGACAATCCACAGAACCAACTGATTTCAAGTCCTGTTGGTTCAAGTTTTATAATATATTTTGCATTGATCCCTCCTGTTCTCTATTCCCAGCGCAAGGTTAGGTTCTCACTGCTTCCCCTCTCAATCACTGCAGTAGTTCCTTGTGAAGTGTGAGGGGGGGGGGCAGTAAACCACAGAACTTATATGCATGTATGCATGACCAATGGACATGGACGACAATGCTGGAGACAGGGCTAGGAGCGAGGGGGAGGATGATGTCAATGTGGGGAAAAGAAGAAACATTTGTAACAAAAACAAACAAATAAATAAATGTTCTATATATGCTTTAAGTTTCCTAAATTAATAATTAGATTTCTCATTAAAAGGTAATGTTAAATTTAACTGCTCTAATCATAATGACTACAGTGATATTTAGTGTAGTTCTTAATAGTGGGGCAGACTTATCACTTATTGAAAAAAATGCCTTTTTACCAAGAAAATAAAGAATCAAAAATTCCGCTATTAACTCATTTTGTGTACATGTAATATTTTGCGTTGTGCAATATCCGTTAAAATAATATTCACCATTTTTCGTCCTTACATTTTTCCTCCAAACAAATCACTAAATAGTACCCTTGTTAATTTCTGATATTGATTCTCTTAGTTGATGCAATCTATCTCTAGTGGGAAAACAAAAACAAAAACAAAAACAAAAAATAAACTAAAACAGAAACAAGCACAAAGAAGTATTATTATCCTGTGGCGCATTCACTTATTAGGCATGACATCCAGGTGGAAGGCATCCTATTCCTTTTCTCTTACAATGTATGTTCCCACGTGTGTTAGGGGGTGAGGCTGGCTGGGAGCTGCACGCATGCGCACTGGGGGCAGCGCACTGCGCATGTGGGAAGATGGAGAAAATGGCGTCGTGAAAATCGTGAGTCTCCCTGCTCTCTTCCAGTTTGCCTTATAATTCCCGGGACTGGGGCCATGGGCCGTGGCGCATTTTCCCTTTGGTCCGGCTCGGCCTAGCCAGTTGCATCTCCGAACGGGCCGCAAGCCCAGTGTGTGCTTGGCTCCAGAACCGGCGAGTTGCGGGTAGCGTCGGCCCAAGCCCATTGGCTGCAGGTACGAGAGCTTGTGGGGTGCGAGGGCGAGGGGCGGCCAGCTGGGCATCATGAGTCAGCAGCTGGCAGCACAGAATCAGCCGGGCCTGCTCATGGACCCGGCAGAGGGGCAGGTGCCCTGCCAACGTCAGGACCGTTCCAACGTGGATGGCCTGCTGCCGTCCAAAACCAGCATTCATTCCGAAGATAGTGGACAAGCTGTGTCCATGAAAAAACCTCCAAAAGAATTGAAATGTCGTTTTGATTCATCACTGTTTCGTATAACTCGAAACTTTATAGATCTGATCAGGAGTGCCCCGGGGGGTGTTCTTGACTTAAAGGAGACTTCCACAAAACTGGGAGTGCCAAAACGACGGTTATATGACATCAGCAATATTTTAGGTGGAGCCAACCTGGTGCAAAAAAAGTCGAAGAACCTTATTCAGTGGATAGGAGGTGATATTACCAATTTTGATGCAGTGCACCGGCAGAAGAAGCAGCAGGAGGAACTTGATGAGTTATCGGCAATGGAAGATGCTCTGGATGAGTTAATTAAGGATTGTGCTCAGCAGTTATTTGAGTTAACAGATGACAAAGAAAATGAAGGAGTAGCATATGTGACATACCAAGATATTCAGAGCATTAAAGCATTCCGTGAACAGATGGTTATTGCAGTTAAAGCTCCAGCAGAAACCATACTGGACATTCCAGACCCGGGAGAGGACTCTATCACCCTACAAGTACAGAGCACCAAAGGGCCCATTGATGTCTATTTGCTAGACATGAAACAGGATCACTCAAATAATAAGGTGTCTGAAGGTGGAGGGACCTCCTTATCTAAAAGCAAACACTCCAAAAACCCTAATAAAGAAGAAAATTCTCCACAGCAAAGCGAAGAAGTGCTTGAAGTGAGCAAGTGATAGGATTTGAGAATTCGTTTATTGAGTGTTTTCAGAACATCCTGTATGGATGAAATATGCATTAATGTTCGATTCTCAGAAGTTCCCTCATTCTCAGTCAGTTGCAGCATTCAGGTCAATAGTGTTTTTGAGTAGTTCTCTACTTAGATTACTGGATAATTACGGTTTCCACATTCAAAAACAACTCTATAATTCTGGCCTTTTGTCAGTGAAATAGACATTCTGCCTGCCGAAATAACTATCATAGACAGTACCACTAAAACAGACGGTCAGGCCTGAAATGGACAGTTCTTCATATACTCTGTTGTTTCCTTCAAGGATTATGTGTCCTTAGAGCAAAAGAAATGGCCTTACATGGGTTCATGTCTCCAATTAGCTTTTGTACATTGGATGGGTGTATACACGCATCTAAATGTGATGTCTTTGTATATATGTACATAATGTTTAAATTACGTCCATAATGTATGTATATAGAAAGTAACAGACAAGTTGTCTAATTTCTGTGGTGTCTATAACTTACTAGAATCCTCTGAATGAAGGTTAGAGGAACATTTGTCCAAATTTTTACATGTAGAGGTATGATAAATATGCTATACATTTAAAGTTATTTTTTGAAGAATTTCAGTATGATTCCCAGTGCTAGAACTGGATTTCAGGTTACTTCCAGTTATTGTGTCTGAGAAGACCAGTAGCATGCCCCAAGCCTTTAGAGACAAGTGTAGAAATATCACCAGGTAGTGGCTTAATTGATTATAAGACATTATTTCAATCAAAGAGACAATTGGAAACTATTTTAACCTTTTTGCCAGCAGATTTTATGTTTCTGGATGTAGACTTGCTCTTCAAGCAAAGAAGTTTACTTATGAGGTATTAGTTGTACCCTGGCCTCTCTCCAGCTCTAGTCCCACATTTTCTTCTTCTTCTTTTTTTTTTTTAATCCTCCCCTGAGGACATTTTTTTTTTTGCATTTGTCTTCAGATAGAGCGGGAGGGAGAGAGGGAGGAAGAGAGAGAGAGAGAAACATCGATGTGAGAGAGACACATTGACTGGTTGCCACCCACAAGACCCCAACCAGGGCCGGGGAAAAACTGCAACTAAGGTGAGTGCCCTTAGTGGAAACTGAACCTAAGCCTCTCTGGTCCATGGGCCGACATTCACGCTCTAACTGCTGAGCCAAACTGGCCAGGGCCTAGTCCCCCATTTCTAAGTACTTAGCTAATTCTACATCACCGGGTAAATAATTGACCACTGTGCCTCAGTTTACTCGGTAGTTTATCGTTAGACTGTGAGCTCCTTGAGGGACTATATCTTAATTGTTATTATACCCAGAGCCTTGTACCATACTGGGCATATACAAAGGGCTCAACAAATGTTTGAACAAATTTTTAATAATTAGCACAAAAGCTTTATTAAGGTATAACTGACACATGAACAGTGTAAATAAGGTATGCAATTTGCATTTTGACATTTTGATACATATACATATATATGTATGTATATATATGTATATGCATATATATCTATATATATAGATATAGATATATATAGTGAAATGATAACCACAATCCAGCTAATTAATATATCTGTCACCTCACATGCTTACCATTTTCTTTTTTGTGTATCTTGAAAAGGCAATATAAGATCTACTTTCTTAGTAAATTTCAAGTATGCAATATAGTGTTGTTTACTGTAATCACAGTACTCAGTTTGCTAACTGAAACTCCAGTAAGGCTGGTCAGATGGTACGAAGTTTCATGAGATTTTTTTTTTTTAATTTAATTTTGCTTTATTGATTTTAGGCAGGGGGAGAAAGAGCTAGAAACATCGATGAGAGAGAATATCGATTGGCCGCCTCCTGCATGCCCCCCACTGGGGATTGGGCCCACAACCTGGGCATGTGCCCTGACCCGAAACCGAACCAGCAACCTCTTGGTGCATGGGTCGATGCTCAGCCACTGAGCCACACTGTCTGGACACATGAGATTTTTTATTAAAAATTTTGTATGGTATAGTTTACACTTTATTAGCATATGAGGACCAATATCCAGCATATCCCTAAGAAACCTTGGACTGTGAGCTGAAAGTGTAAATTGAATAGGACACTGGAGTTATCTTTCTTGGGGAGCTGTACTGTTGTGTTTTTTTTTTTTTTTATCCTCACCCAAGGACATTTTTCCATTTTTTGTTCAGATAGAGTGGGAGGGAGAGGGAGGAAGAGAGAGAGAGAAAAACATTGATGTGAAAGGGATACATCGAGTGGCTGCCACCCACACGACCAACCAGGGCCGGGGACAAACTGCAAATGAAGTACGCGCCCTTAGCGGGAACTGAACCCAGGTCTCTCTGGACCGCAGGCAGATCCTCTAACCACTGAGCCAAACCGGCCAGGGCTGTTGTGTTTTTTTGTTTTTTGTTTTTTTTTTTAAATCAAAAGTGTATATATATATATATCTTTTTTTCTTTCATTGTTATTTTGTATTAGTTTCAAATGTACACCATAGTGGCTTGACAATCATATACTTTACAGAGTATTTCCGTGATATTTCCAGTACCCACCTGGTGCCACATGTAGTTATTATAATATTCTTTTTTTTATCCTCACCTGAGGACATTTTTGCATTTATCTTCAGATAGGGTGGGAGAGACAGAGAGAGAAACATTGATGTGAGAGAGACACATCGACTGGTTGCCACCCACATGACCCCAACCAGGGCTGGGGATAAACTGCAACTGAAGTACATGCCCTTAGCGGGAACCAAACCTGGGACTCGCTGGTCTGTAGGAAAACGCTCTAACTGCTGAGCCAAACAGGCCAGGGCTATAATAATATTCTTTTTTTTTATTTTTTATCCTCACCTGAGAATATTTTTCCATTTTTTGTTCAGATAGAGTGGGAGGGAGTGGGAGGGAGAGAGAGAGAGAGGAACATCGACTTGAAAGGGACACATTGAGTGGCTGCCACCCGCACAACCCAACCAGGGCCGGGGACAAACTGCAACCAAGGTACATGCCCTTAGCGGGAACTGAACCCAGGTATCTCTGAACTGCAGGGCGACGCTCTAACCGCTGAGCCAAACTGGCCAGGGCTGTTATAATATTCTTGATCATTCTGACACCTGGAGCTGCTTTTGAAGCAGTGGGTTGATACTCTTTTATGTTAATGGAAGATAAAATTTGAAGCTTATAAATGTGAACATAGTTTTTCAACTCAACAATGTGGTTTTCTCCTTCAGTAGTTGTTTGTCCAAATATCCCTTTTTTTTGTCCATTTATAAATCTTAAAATATGTAACTATGACATTGATTCTGCACTGTGATAAAAAAAATTCTGTAAAGATCTCAGTATATTTTTGTTGTACTTACTGTGCACCGTGGTGCAGTGTTCCCCTTACGGAACTCACATTTTTTGTTTTGTTTTAGAATATTTGAACATGGCAAGCCTTTGAAGGGTATGTTCATTATTTCAAGACCTGTGTTGGATTTTCAGATTTCTCTTTATGGATTGAACGAAATAAAATGTACAAATGCAAACTTGTCCACCACTCCATTTGTTTCCTCTAAAAAATAAAGTATATGTGAATGAATTTCTGATAGCTCTTAGAAAACACATATAGTCTCTAGAACTCACTTAGTAATTGTAGTCTAGAGTCTAGATAATATTCTTATAATGAAGATTAATCTCGTTTCAGGCATAAAACAGTGACATTATGTGTGAAATCTCAAGAGGAACAGCTAAAGCATAAATGAACCCCTTCAATACAATGATTGAAAACTTTGTATAAAGGAAGTTATATTGTAGATCCGTAGTCTTACTCATTAAAATGAAAGTGTCAGAGTTATGCTGACATTAAGGAGCATGGCTGCTAAATACTGGAACACTTGTGTGCCACACCTGAGTCATTAGAAGTCTCCAAACTATTGTTCAAACAGAATGAGAGCAATGTACTGTGTGTAACTAGGTTTTGTACTGTAGTGCAAAATAACCTTTCCATAAAAGGGTAATCTCAAAAAAATTCACTTTGTTGGAAAGACCTTTTTGATTACAGAGAAGTAATAGAGTGCTTTGTGATAAAATCAGAACTGCTCTGTATATTCCAAATTACAGAGAGGGGAAAGAAAAGATGTGCTCCTGGCTTCATCCCACCCAAAGAGTGCTTGTATCAACAGACTTCATGTACTACAAAAATTATTAGTTCCTCTCAACAAACTTATTTTAACAGCCATTTTGAGATTAGCAGCTTTGTAAATATCCCTCTAAAGTATAAGATGCTTCATTTTCTATTCAATAATCATTCTTTATTTACTTTAATTTTTAGAAAGAAGTTATTGAATTTTGGGGGGTGACATTGTTTAACAAAATGACACGGATTTCAGGTGAACAATTCTATAATACATCATCTGTACACTGTATTGTGTGTTCACCACCCCAAGTTTAGTCTCCTTCTGTCACCATTTATCCCCCCTTTACCCTCTTCTTCCTCTCCTACCCCCACTCTGGTAATCACCATACTGTTGTCTGTATCTATGAGGTTTTTTTCTTTGCCTAATACCTTAACTTTTTCACCCAGTCCCCCAATCCCCTCCTCTCTGACAGCTGTTAGTCTGTGCTCTATATCTATGAGTTTGTTTCTATTTTGTTTGTTTATTTTGTTCATTAGATCGCATATGTAAGTGAAATCATGTGGTATTTGTCTTTCTCTGACTGGCTTATTTCACTTAGCATAAAATCTCCAGGTTTATCCACGCTGTGGCAAAAGGTAAGGAGTTCCTTCTTTTTTACAGTCAAGTAGCATTTCATTATATGACTGTACCACAGCTTTTACATCTCCTCCTCCATTGATGGGCATATGTGCTGCTTCCAAATCTTTGCCGTTGTAAATAATGCTGCAATGAACACAGGGGTGCATATACTCTTTCAAATTGGTATTTGGGGTTTCTTCGGATATATTCCCTGAAGTGGAATTTGGGTCATAAGGCAGATCCATCTGTAATTTTTTAAGG